TATTTTTTATCCTTCTACTGTACAGAGTCTTGTTATTAGGTTTCCAATTAATTTATACTTTTGAAATATAGCTTTTGAACTTAATATTCAGATTCAATTGAAACTCAATTTTGATGGGGATTAAATAGCATGAACTACCGCAGTCCTTATTGCAAAAAATATTCTGAAATTAACGTCAGAGAAAATTATTTTGGTATCTTAAAGGTGATTGGTTGTGCTTATATCAATTTGACAATAACTTTTTTGGCAGTTTAAATTCGTGAGAAATTTACTTGGGCAATTTTATCAACTTTTGGTAAAATATTTTATATTTTTTCTTTTTTGGAATTCAAGTTTTAGATTGAAAAGGCACCACTTTCTGTGTAAACTTGAGGTATTTTTATTTGAAATTCATCAAAGGCACAACTAGTTTTATTTGAATTCAGGAAGTTTGAGAAAAGACAATTTTATAGCTCCATATCTTAGCGGTCTTAAAACAGCCTATGTTAAAATTTTTGGTTAGAGTTGGTGCTACAAGAAGTCGAAAGATGGAAAACTGTCTGGAAGTTTCTCCCCCAGATCAACTTTGCTGACCAATAAGCAAATGAACGCGACGCCTTATGGTAGTTCATTGTATTCCCAAAATTTTGTGAATTATCCGAATAAACGTTTTGTTGATCCAGTTTAATAATAGCAGCATCGATTAACAGCAGAATCGCTTTAAGTTAGAAATTTCAGCTTATTGTCAATTATTGGCTAATTGGTAAATCATAATTGGGGTTGATTAAGTGGTTCTATCCACGCGAAACACCTTCCCGACCTCCTTTCATCCCACTCGACCTGTCAGGTCATTCACCACTCCATTAAAGTTGCCAACACACTGCGTCGATTGTTTAACGTCGATTGGGTGGAGTTTCTGGCATCGGGATTAACGACTTTTTTACTCTTAAATAAATAAGAGCACCAAAATCAAGTCTGTCGAAAGAAATTAAAATAATTCTCCTATCTATTTGACCGTTTGAATAAAAAACGCATTAGTTGAAATTTGGCAAATACAATTTAAAAGTAGAAGGGTAAGTATGAAGAGCTCTTCTACCAACGCAATGTACAAATAT